GCTGAAAAGCGGACTGGAACTGATTCGGACTTAGCCTCTACTGGACTTGGACTTGACTCGAACTGAAAAACACCAAATTTGTCTGCTCATCTCTTAGACAAAGTTATAAAAAAAATGGCATCGCCCGAAATCTGCCGTCATGAAAAGTGTGCCGCAGTCGCGTGTGATAGAGATTATAGACCATAAGACCCTTAACTTCCAGTCAAGGGAATAGAGTGCCACAGTCAATTCGTAATAAAACAACTGTGTTTTATAAAAGACACGCTTTGCGTTCATAATTTAGAAGAACTCAGTCGTATATTCTGACTATATTTCGGACGTTCAGTACAGGAGTAGTTCTGTGCCTACTATAGATGTCAGATTTCGATAAAGTATGGTTCTTGAGATTTAGAAAATATTCATGTGTTTTGCTGTAACTGAAGAAATGCAAATATTGAACGACAGTAATGCATATGAGGGACAATGTGAAGAATTCTAACTTATAATTAGGAGGAATAACTCGGTACCAATACTGGTGCAGGGTCCTGACAAGGACAAGTGCCAATTTCAATAACCTTATATCCTCTCTACAGTTAACAAACTTCTGACATGGTTGTTCAGATCGCTACTAGTCATCAACTAAAGCTCTGGATAGCAGGCTCTAGCCAGACGCAGGGTTCTTTTGCCCAGTTACTCCCATACACACTCATTAGCCGCGTACTAGCTTTCCGGAAAGCTAAGCGAACTACTCAAAGGGATTGTATTGTACATCACAACGAAGTAATACGGTATCGGACGGTTGAGCTGTGGCACCCAGACATAAATACCTTGTCCTTTTATTACACTATTTGCCGGTGCTGAGGTTCGAAGTCAGTACGGTCGTAGTACGTGACGAACAGCATAACCGCCATGCCGTGCTGTCTAAATGCAATTACTGTGATGAAACTATGTGCTCTGTCTAACATAATTGAGGATTCTAGATCATCTGATTCTGGCTAAAATATAATTAACTGATTATAAATGCTCTGTGTTAATACTATAGTGCAATCCAATTGAATTGCAGGATTAACAAATATCTGTTGCGTGCATAGTGAGAACTGTATACTTCATGTCCATCTTCAGTGGATGATTTTTTCTTAGCATTTGAGATGATGAACATACACTTCTATAGAGCGAGTAACCTAGTGTCGAGGAATATCAGCATATTATTTAGTTTAATGGTAAAATTTTGCCTTTTTTGGGTCTTGAAAACTATAGTATCTTTATATACCAGACGCTATAAAGGCCATGACAAATAAAATATTGCTTGTAAGATGTGAACTTACTCGATATATTGACATTAAGAAAAAAAAGTCGTTATTTTTACTTTATGTTACTACAAGTATATATATATTTCACGCTCTTGTTGGTAATTTTACACGTCAAAGGCTATACATATACTTTTGTTGACTGTGACCGAGTCTTGTTCTTGAAACATTAATTAAAATGTACGTGCTATATCACATATGAAGGATAAATAATTTGATTCAGACTTATACAAATATTTTAATAATATCTAACTTTTATGAGAAATGATCGACCACTGGATCCTTTTTTCTGTTATCTAAGACAGTAGTAACAATAGTATTGTTATAATACTGTCTTATTAACTGTATTAGCATGAAATCTTCTTTTATCGGTCGCTCTAAATCAGATGTAGAAACTAGCCGATCTCTGCTATTGAAGTCTATTTGTTTATTCATTATTAATCTATTAAGAATAAATAATGTTACCAGTTGAGATTATAAAAATAAAAGGGTTTATATACGTAGATCAAAGAAACGTAAGCGAAAAATATATTTCGTTAATTAAAATCGGATGCACCACAAACAACAATATATGTTGAATAAAATGCGAAAAATTTTTACGATTATTGATTTTAATAATTAATTAAAAGACTGGATAATGTTTCAAGGTGTTTGTGGTATGTTTCTATTTCATATAGAAAAAAAATAAAATATAAAGGTTATTGGTGTTACTTTAGCATTCTATACAATAAGAAATTTGTTTCTTTTTGTGTATAAAAAAAAAATCAGCTCAAAACATAAAAAACATTAACAATAGAGTAATACAACAAAATTAGTTCAAAAAATAACAACTTGCTTGTGTTACCTGTCATGAAAATATGCACAGATGAGAAAAAAAAATCGCGGATTGAATTATGTTGTTGTCGTAGTTTAATTGCATGCATTCGAACAGTATAAAAAAATAGAGAACAAAAAAACATCGATAATAACAAAAACAATGAATCATATGATTTTAACATGAAATCAAAAATTTTCACATAATTTAAACGAAACATAACTAATGATATATTTATAAATCGAAATACTACATGTACTCATAAAACTACTACTCATAAAAAAATATAACTCATATACGTCTTTAAGACGATAAAATATCTCTCACAAAAGACGATTATGATTGCTGATATTGTTCAGCATGTGAACGATGTATATTAGAATTATGTTGAGACGATATTCGAGCATGTTTTTTAATACGATTGTTCGAATCATTACTTCTTTTTTCATCCATTATATCACCACGATTGGAATGTTTTTGAATATTTAATTGCTAAAATTTTTTGAAGAAAAATAAATTAAAATATTAGAAGAAAAGGGCCTAGAAATTGAAAATGTTACCTTTGCTTCTTGTGGTATAAATGGTAAATCATTTATATTATATCGTTGTTCATGTCCTTCTCTTTGTTTTGCTAACATTGTGGCAATGTCAAGAGGGAGCGCAAACCATATTAAATCTTTATATTTGTCTGAAATATTCAATGGTGGATCTATTCTATAGTCAATTAAATCCACACGTCTTAATGCATCTTGCATAATTAATTTTGCTTCTCTCAATGGATCCTGTACAAATAAATTTATATAATTATATTTTAGTTTTTACTGTTAAATATTATCGCATTGTAAAACGTACTATATAGTCTTTTAGTAATTTTAAGTATAAATATCAGTCTTACATGAGTTACTTTGTCATATTGTTCTTTTCGTCCATGTTGTTGCATTTTTCCTCCTCTATATGTTATTTGTTCTAGACTTGAACAAACAGGTTGATATAGACCACGATGTTTCCATGCACCACTCACCGGTTCATAAGTATACTTAAAATAAAGTTAATAATAATTATAATATATCTTAGAGATAAAAAAAACAACAATATTTTATACTTACTAAAGGTAAAAATTTCCAACCATAATTAGCAACAAATTCTATTGCATCCAAAATGAAATTTATTTCTTCTTCAGGAGCAAAATAGGGTAAATTTACACGACAAAAACCGGGTCTAAATAAAAAAATCATTATTGAAATATTTTTTGAAAAAAAGCTGAAAATAACGTAAATTAACTCACCTCATCATTAAAGTTTTTTCAACCTTTTCATTATCTTGATCTACACGACGACTAGAAGAAAATTAAATAAAAGATTTATACTTGCGAACGATGTTTTTGTTGTTTAATATATCTATAAAATTAACTCACGATGGTTCATCTGTCATAAACATTATAAATTTTTTTGTTTTGACATTGTCAATATTCAACAGATCCTAGAATAAAAAAGAGTAGATTAAATGATGATGATATTCTTGTCATTAACAGACGACAAACCAATGCATAGGGTCCGGCACAAGCACATCCAGCTCGTACTTGAATACCAAATAAATCATTTAATAATAGAGAAACAAAATTATGATGAAGATATTTGCATATACTCGGAACATAAATTAAAAATGAAAATACGGCTAATCGAGGTACGTCGCGTGAACCAAGAACAATTAATTTATCATCTTTTCGAAATCGTTTAAAGAATTTTTTCACTAAAGAATTTTCTTCAGCTTCGATAAAACTGTCACCTAATGCCTAAATACACACAAATATTAAATAGCAAAAAATACATCATTTATATTATTCAGACACCATACATCCTTCAATTGAAACACCAATCCAGCTCGAATTGAACCAACAATGTCTGGTGTGCCACCTTCTTCTCTCACTTCAATATCTTTATTATATTCATGGGATGTTCGTGTAACATAGTTGACAGTACCACCACCACATGCACCAGGTATTCTATTTTTAAATAGATGTTTTTTAGCCACTAATACACCTGGTGTACCAGGTCCACCAATAAATTTGTGAACAGATATAAATATGGCATCTTTATAGCCTAATGCTGAAGAATTCATATCAACTTTAACATAGGGAGCAGCTGTGGCGTAATCCCAAAATATTAAACCATTGTATGTATGAACTAATGTACTAATAGATTCGACATCTGTTCTAATACCCGTTATATTACTAGCGGCATTGAATGAACAAATAATTTTCTTTTTTAAATTTGTATAATATTGAAGTTTTTCTTTTAAAATATTTTTATCTAATATTCCTTGATTTGTTGTTGGAATACGTATAACCTAAACATCATGAGTAAGTAGTTTGTTGATATTTATAAAATATCAAAGAACTTACTTCAATTCCTGTTTCTTTCCATGGAAGAATATTGCTATGATGTTCAAATGCACTGATCATTACAACCTAACAAGAAAAATTATAATATTGTATTGAATATATTTTTAATCATTACAAACTTACAATATTATCTGTATTTTCTTTGTCAGAAAGTGTTACTGTTATAAGTCTATGTATTGCACCCTAAAATCGTAAATGAAACAATAAAATTTTTTAATATAAAAGCAGAAAAAATTTATATACATACAGTTGTTCCTGAGCCAGTAAATATCACTACGTCATCCTGAGTTGCATTGACAGATTTTTTAATCAGAGCTCGTGCTTCATCACGAAATTTTGATGTTTGTAATGCGCATAGACTATTTTCACTATGGGTATTTCCGTATCTAGATTAACATATAAAAAGACAGATTGTATAGAAAAATAAATTTAATACGTTGACAGTATACTCACAATGGTAACACAGTTGTTTTAATGAAATGCTCAATAAATTGAAGCGCTCTGCCTGATGCAATATAATCACAATAAAGCACTAAAAATAAGTATAAAAACGTTTTTGATATGAATTTGTTAAATGATCACTTTTTGAAAAAGGTGGTACTAGTTTGAGAATGTTTGACTATCGTTTTACTGATCATGAATATTTCGAAGAAATGCTAATATTTTTCTATAACAATTTTTGATCGAATACTAACATCCAAGAGCTTAACAAAATAGTGGACCAGGCGTTCTGACTTCGTACAAATATTTCGTACGGGAGCACCAGTACCAAAAATATCTTTTTTGTATAAATGTAGAAAGTGCGGAGCGTACTGAAGAGGCATGTCATGACGTGTCCTACATACATTTGTATCGATACAAAGAGGACCGTTACAGAATGTCTCTTTAGTATCCCACATACTTGTACCCGTTCTTTTTTAGACAGGTACGAACAGTCCTAAAATCAGTTCATGGACCGCTCCCCCACCGCTGCTCCCACATGTTACTGTTACCTCATTTGAAATATCTTTATAGGTATGCTGAAAGGTTTATTTATTATAAGAATAGTCAAGCGTATAAACATATCAATATATTCTGCATTTTTTCGCAAGTCTGATCGAGCAGAAGAATTTTTTTCGAATATAACTTAATCTCTGAAACTATTGTCATCGTAATCAAGTTATGACCTAACTGTGTCATAATGCAGATAAAGCTTACGAAAAAAAGTCAACCTACAGTTGCTCGTTTCGTATTAGCTTACTCTTCATTCTAAAAAAAAATGCGACTTCAGTGATGTGTCTACCGAGAAAAAGTGTCTTTTGTATGACTACATTGCGTCTTCAAAATTCTATATGTCTTCAGTGTGTCTACTGGTAGACATATAGAAGTCGCATGGAAGACATGTGAATCAGAAAGACGCTTAGTAGTCACATCTTCCCGCCTTCCATGTGACTCTACTAGGTTTTCAATGTCTCACATGAAACGTCAACGTAAGAGGCCAATAAGACTAATAATTAATGTGCCTGTCCGAATAAACTTACTTCGTCTAATTCCCCATGGCCCATTAATTGTAAAGTCTTTGCCAATGATATTATCGTTAATATACATCAGAAGTTTTAATGTATTACCTATAAGTAATATAGCTTTACACAATAGAAATAACTATTAGTATTTTCTTCCTTACTGTTATTAGTTTTTGATGTGGCATGGTTCGATGAAACGTTAGAATTGATTGATGGTAATAAATGTCCATTATTTTTTTCATATACGATTGGTGAATAATTAACAGAGAGTCCATAGTCACTGTCATTACTATCACGTCGAATTCGATTCCCGTTTGAGCTTCCGCCTACCATTGCTGATGAAGCTCGTTTTGTTGTTGGACGGTGCCACTGTAAATGAGAGATTAGTGCATTTTTCAAAGACGGTACACATCGAGTAGGAAATGTTTTATCTATTTTAGATCTATTCGATTGAAAAATGATTTTTTCAATATTATAATCAATTTTGTTGTTATTAGATAGTTTACAAATAAAACACTATGTGATTAATGAGGCAAGTAAGTAAGATAGCTGATTAATTCTTCGATATTTTAAGAGAAAGTAAGAAAAAAACGAACAAATTGTATAATTTGAACAATATAATGAAAAAAACCAATATTAATGAACAAATAGGTATAATAGTGCTACCATCTTGTCATGTATTTACTAATAGAAAGATTTTATATGAACTTTTGATGTTTTGATTGCTAAACAAATTGGTGCATTTCATTCATACTCTAATTTCTGATATTTTAATACAACACAACAAAAAAAGAGAGATAGATTATAACATTTCTTTTTTCTCTCTCTATTGCAAAGCTGTTTCCAAGGAAGCATCATTTTCCTTTCTTACCTAAAAAATTAGCGATTTTAAGATAAAAAAAGTTTCTAGAAAAGTTCATTTTTCGAGTTTGGCATCGTCATGTACATGCTAATATTTGTTAGTAAAGCGATAACTATCGTCTAAAAAGAGAGATACTGATGAAATATATTTACCTGCAAATCGTCATCACTATAATCGGATGAATCTGATTCATAACAACTGCTGCCACTGTATAAACGTCGTCGGCGATGGCCATCCGGTGATGCTTTTTTCCAACGGTATAATGTTGGTGCTGTATTTTTTGACGATCGATTATCATGTTCATATACCATATCAAACAATGGACTTGAGCTACTAAAATCGATTGGTGTTCGAGATAATGGTCCGGCATTGATAGGTCTTAATAATTCAGAATTTGGTAATGAACTACCTCTAAATACTTCTTGATGATTTTGTATCATATGTACTGGACTCGAACGACTTATATTGATCGTTGGCTGTTGTTGCTGAATCGTATTGTTAATCTGTTGCATTTGGCTAGGTGTAGGAATTTGAGGTTGCATTTGAATTGTAGGATTTTGTTGCATATTCATTTGGGGTTGCATTTGAATTGTAGGGTTTTGTTGCATATTCATTTGAGACTGCATTTGAATTGTAGGATTTTGTTGCATATTCATTTGGGGTTGCATTTGAATTGTAGGATTTTGTTGCATATTCATTTGAGACTGCATTTGAATTGTAGGATTTTGTTGCATATTAATTTGAGGTTGACCAATCGGCATTCCAACAACGGATGCCATTGCCATTGTTGGAACAAGTTGATCTTGTGCAGGATTTCTGAGTAACTGGTCCATTGGAACATATCTGACTGATAGTGGATTCATAGATGACATTGTGGGGGTATTATAGGATTGTTGTATACTACGCAATTGGTTATTAAATTGCATCATTTGCATGGCTGGATCTTGCGTAGTGTACATACTCGGAGCTTGTAGCATCGTATTGGGCATACTATACAGCTAAAGAAAAATACAATCATTAATACAACGTAACGATTGTGGCAACCTTGCGTTAAGTTGTTTTGGTAATATCAACACCTTTATGAAGGATTATTTATATAAACTAAGATATGATTTATTGTTCAAAATTGAATGTTCAAGTATATAAAAGCATACACATACCCCTGGCGTATATTGATACATTTCTATTGATGATACAGACAATCGTACACACGTCTGCTACCTATTTGATTTCAACTATAGAATAACAACGTGTACAATCTTTTCACTCTGTGAAGAGAAATAGAAAACAATCTGTACAAAATTGCGTAAAAGGTATGACAGAATAGAGTAAAAACCTATTCAAGTATCACGTTAAGAAATAATGAGAGAACAAGCTACATGACAAACCACAAGTTATAAAAATAATTAAGTATAGTGAGTTTTGGGTAAANGTACACACGTCTGCTACCTATTTGATTTCAACTATAGAATAACAACGTGTACAATCTTTTCACTCTGTGAAGAGAAATAGAAAACAATCTGTACAAAATTGCGTAAAAGGTATGACAGAATAGAGTAAAAACCTATTCAAGTATCACGTTAAGAAATAATGAGAGAACAAGCTACATGACAAACCACAAGTTATAAAAATAATTAAGTATAGTGAGTTTTGGGTAAATGAAACAAATAGATTCTGAATAACCGGTTAAAGCAATTTATAGAAACAAAAAAAGAAAAAAAAGAGAGAAAATTAGTTAGGTCATTTAGAGCCTCTTACTAGACCAGTTCTGTGTAAAAAGCTGCATTTCGAGTTTTCAATTCATTTTCGAAGAACAATGTAAAGAAATGAGAGCGAATTTACATTGGTAAAGAATAGTGACAAGGTAGATTTGCCTGTTTCAAGTAGTCCAATGTCTTCCTTTTCTTTGATTGTAAAAAAGCAGAGAAAAGAAGATAAATACTTTTGTATCGAAAGATTCAAATTTACAACAGCAAATCATCCCAATGAGAAACTTACGAATGTACCTGTATTTGTAATTTTGATCAATATCATAGGTATGAATAGAATGCCAAAAATGTAGATACTTAATTGTAAAAACAAACCACGATTACACTACAGATACAAACCCACACTCATGTGGTTAATAAGACGTCAGGGTATATTTCAGTTATTTATTTAACATGTATGAGTTTGTATAACGGTCAATGTCAGATTATATGTATTAAACTTTAAATTTATAGAAATCTTGAGTAGTTAAAATTTATTTTTAACAGAAAACCTTGTGATTGATCAAAATATTTTTTTCATAAGTATTCTCTACACAAAAAACATCTATTTATCTATATGATAAAAACTATCTTTATGGTTTATTATATTTAGATAAAAGCCAACTGACAAAAAAAAAAAAAAAAAAATAATTTTTTGGAAAACATTTGAGATTTCACCTTGAGTTATACATCATAAACACAATCGAGCCATGAAAAGAAAAATATTAACAGTCACTACTTTTATGTCAACGAATAATACGAAAAGCTCGCTATACTTTTTTTTTCCAATGAATTACGAAATTAGTAGTGTACACGAAGGTCGATTCTCATGATTCGTTAGTGACGAATATATAGTAAAACAAAAAAACACACACAAAAAAAAAATGATGAACAATTTAAAGAAATACAGTAGAAAAACGTTTTTTTTAAAAAAAAATACTTTTTAGCTATTATTGAAACTTTTCTCTAATCATTTTTCAACAAATAGCAGCGAAAATTCTAGAAATGATAATGAAAACTATATAGTCACTATTCTTATAAATATAATATTCATATTAAATCAACGCTATAATAGTCCGATTGTTGTCTCTTACACTTATTGTCTATTAGTAGAAATAAAATAGTAGAGAATGTGAAATATATTTATCAGTCAAATATGAAAGAGGTTCTAATTATTTGACTTTAACGAACATTAATAATACTCTCTCTCTCTAACTTTTAATCAAAAATTAATTTCATATTTTCTTACTTTTTCCAATTTGACTATAATGAGTATTTTTTTATCCTTTTTCGTATTGGTATTTTCCTTTAGTAATGATATATATATCATATAATGACTGACAAATAATAATATATTTATTGCTTAAACGTTCGAAAATACAATAACAATTTGTTTTGTCTAAAGAATAGTATGTCTGTATTTATTAATATATAGTGAGAAATCTCCAATATTTATTCTTTTTAACAAATAACGTCGAAAATATTGATCATACGATCAAAGGGATCGAAAAATATATTACGAAATTTATTACTCATCAATTATGTAGAATATTCTTTGAAAGAAAAGACCATTTGACTTTTCACTCTAATTATGTTCTGTCGTGTGCATACTCTAGTGTGCACGTGACTATAGATTGATTAATATTTCAAAATCTATGAAAATTATGCACAATTAGTAAAGTTTCGTATTCTTTAAATATTAAAATAGTGGGTGAAATGAAGATATCTGTGATTGTTAATACTCAAAAATAACACATCATAGCAAATTGTTAATATCTCTAAGTTTTTTTATTTTTTTTATCGTAAATACTAATTTTGTAAACATTATTAATTATTCTCTTTACATGTTTTGTATCCTTTTTTTCACCACTTATTAAATATTGTTTCTATAATGATCTTTACTAGAGAAAAAAAAAAATTGTGTAAGTTAATTACTTATTTTTTCATAACAGATAAAAAATTACCAAAACAATTTGGTTTTTTTAAGGTCGAAATGGGAACATTTGAGACACGTTACGCTTGAGATATTACACGTGATTGTACGCGTAAAACCGCAAAAAAAACAAATGAAATAAATCGATTTGCCTTTTTAGGTGTCTAAACTTCGAATTTATATATGATTAATTATTTACTATCCGCTTTTTTATATAATAGTCCAAAAATAAATATACATATATATTTATATATATGTGGTTAATAATTATGTGGTGATTGTTTGATGCCGAACCGCAAAGAAGGTTTTAAATACCTGGATACGGACTACTCTGGAAGAAAATTGATTGTATGTTATAAAAAAAAATAATTAATTTTCAGTTTTATAACAGTTTAAGGATTAGAATATACAAATTCTATTCAAATATTATCTTCAATCTATCTTTACTCTTTTAAAATCCTAGTCAAATCTTCAGAAGATAAGGTTCATATTAGGAAAAAATATATTAGTTTAGTCTCCTTCTGATAAATTGAAAAAGTCTGTCCCTCTTTCTCGAAATTTTCCTGTAAACAAAAGAAAACATACATTTCGACTAATAACATCTTTATTTTACTTATGACAGCTGACTTTGAAAACCATCGATTAAAAGTATTTTCTAATGGAAAAATTATTTAGGTTATAAGTACGTAAATGTTCTGTTCTAATAAACGAATTTCCACTTTTATATGAGATTTTTGGGCAAAGTATACCTTGACTTCAGAATCAGTTCAGTACACTATACTGAGTAATTTTGAAATTATTCGAAAAACTAGTATGTCATACTATCATAATACTCTTTCTAGTTCGTATCAATCAATTATTATCGTTAAAAAACTTATCACTACTTTACTGATATGGTAAAATTAGAAAAAAATCTTTTTTTATCTTCAAATGTGTTACTGTTGTTAAATAAAATAAGAAGAGTGATTCACATGTTCATCAGAAACGTCAAATATGCCTAGTACACTTATTATAGCTGGCATTAAATTAAAAAAATTCGTCGAACTGGTTATCCATGAAACAAAATAAAAATAGCGAGAGAGAGGAAATAACTGTACCATTCACCAAACTCTATTAAGGTGTCTTTTTTCTATCAATTAGTTCAAGAATTGTTGTTCCAACCGTTCCCTAGATAAAATCTTACGCACTACTAGTTTATTTTCTGCTAGGATCTTACAAGATCCTACATGTTAGGATCTATCTAACAACGTCCTATTAGGATCTTAAAATAATAGGATTCTACTAGGATTTCGCTTAAGTTTGTTTAGCATACGAACGGAATCTTACGAGTGAACCTTGCGAACTGTCACATCGCTTTTTCAGCCAAACATAGGTTATCAACTATGCTGAATCCCATTATCATAATGGGAGCTGCTCAGGAGCCTTGAGAGAACGATTTACTTGAAAACCAGTTTTTTACAAAGTCTAAAAAATAACTGAAATCTTTCCTAATGAGGCATGATTCTAGCCAGCACATTTCTGATTAAAATGAGACATCTCCCACCTCTACACGACCTTTCTTTGCAAAGTTATAGAATTTACAAGTCAAGCCCTAAATTAATTTCTTCTTATTTCTGAAGCTCTGAGGTGACAATGAACATTGAGGGCTTTTCTTGTAAATCCTATAAATTTGCAAAGAAAGATCGTACAGAGCTGGAAGATGTCTCATTTTAATCAGAAATTTGTGGGCTACAATCATGACTCATTAAGAAAGATTTCAGTTATTTCTTAGACTTTGTAAAAAACTGGTTTTCAAGAAAACCGTTCTCAAGGCTCCTGAGCAGCTTCCACTATGATATCGGGATTCAGCATAGTTGGTAACCTATAACCCACTGTGTTTGGCTGAAAAGCGATGGGACAGTTCCCGAGGTCCACTCGTTAGAAAGTCGTATGACTTTCGGATATACCTGTTTTCATTAGGATTCTGTAGACTTTTGTTAGGATCCTAAGGAATTAAGACGAAATCCTAGTAGGATACTGGTAGGATATGTCTCGGATCCTGTCAGAAAACTCATAGGACTTTTACTAGGGTTGTTATTTCAGCGATTTTCGTAATAATAATCAACATAAGTGGAATAACTTTTGTGCATTTACGTACTTTAAACTTTCAATGTGTATGTTCTGTTAAGAGTTTCTTTTGAGTGATATTTCTAACTAACAAACGTTGATAAATATAGTGCCAAGGCTTAGCATTTGGTTACTCATATGTGTACCCGAGAAAATTCTCTTGATAAAAACTTTTAATTGAGTAATATCGCAAATGCTTTCA